GCCGCCGCACCAGACACAACATAATCTCAGTTTCCGCGATAAATTCACTTTGCGCGGGTGTAAGGCCGACCCCTGCGTGTGTCCCCTACCCCTCAGGGGGGCCCCGCCCGCCGCCGGCGTCCTCCTGACCCACCCCGGCGCCCCGCCCCGCCCCGAGTAGGACGCCCCGGTGGGCCCAGCCCGGGCCCAGGCGTAATGAAGCGACCTTAGGCAACTACTACCCGACCCAACTGCTGCTCGAGCCGAGCTACCCTCGGCGGGGCGGGGCGGGGCTCCCGCTGAGCTGGCTGCCGGAGGGGCTGGTCACAAAATTACACGCCGGGGTCAGAGTGTGGGCGGTATGGGTGGCCACGGCTGCTGCTACTACTGCTTGCTTGCTTGCTTGCTGCAAAAACATGAAAAGGGGGCAAAAAAGCAGTATGCATATAGGCGCAAGCTTTGCTACACACACGGCTATTCTTATCTAGACATGAAAGTCGGGTTGGGGGAGGGTTGGAGAGGGGCTGCCCTAGTCCACGTGTGCTATGCAGTGTGTGTGTATGTGTGTGTGTGTGTGTCGCCCGCAGCCTTCGGTGAACAGATTTAGGCCCCACGTGCGGCGCGGCATAGGTCTGGCCTGGAATGCAGGCTTGCGTGAACCCAGCCGACTGCAAAGCGCGCCATCCAACAACTTACTGCTCCACGCTCTCCCCGGCTCGTGTGCCTTCCAGCAGCAGCAGTAGCACCACCTCCCCCTCCTTCTCCCGCTTCTCACCCCTTTCACACACGCGCGGACACACACACACACACACACACACACACACACACACACACACTCACTCACCTGGGGCGTAGGTAGGCAGGAGAGTTGGCGGGAGGAGAAGGGGTGCGCTATGCGCACCCGCCTTGTGTCACCTCCCCCTTCCTGGCTCCCTGCCCCCTCACTTCCTCTCACACCGCTCGCCTTTTTTACTGCCTTGACCCCGTCGACTTGCAGATATTACGGTGCGTTGCGTTTGTCACAGCAAAAGCAGCAGCAGCAGCAGCAGCGGCGGCATGCTTTGCCCCGTACGGCTCGTATACCTCGCGCAATCACACACACACACACACACACACTCACACACACTCACAGTACAAACGCCGCCAGCTGGGCGATATTTCGACGGCTTGACTAACTGGCCTGGCGCGGCGGGCCACGGTCTGCTGCTGCTGCTGCCGCTCCTCTTCTTCTTCCCCACTGCCACGACGGTAAATGTCTCTCTCTCTCTCTCTCCGCCCCTCCCGCTCTCCTTACGCTCCTACTCATTTCTTGCCCCTGGCCATTTCCCCCTTACCCCCGCCCCCTTTCTGCCTTCTCGTTTCTCTCCTCGCTGGTCCCTTGTGAATAACGGTCCTACATGCAATCACATCAAAGTGCACGACATTATATTGTCTCACCTCCCGGGCTGTGGGGAGGTAGGGGGGGGTGAATCGTAAAAGTACAAGGTATTGCTGGGGGCCCTGGCCGGGGCCCCGCACTAAAGGGCAGCGGCCCGTCACGCCACGGGCAGCCCACCAGCGGGGCCCACCACCAGCAGGGGACTCAGCCCACCAGCAGGGGGACCCTGCGGACCCAGGACCCACCCCGCGCCGGGCAAGGTGTCGCGGCATTTTAAAATAAAGAGAAATAACCCCCCCGGCTTGGACGACCGCTGAAGCAGGTTCATTGTATGACGAGGAGGTTGTCTCGCAGGAAAGAGAGAAAGAAGAGACGCGGGCGGACTGGCTGACTGACAGACAGACTGGTCCGTTGGAAGAGCTCATTCTGTGTCGGTGCGGTCTGCTTATTCCACGCCAGTGAGATTGGCGTCCGGACGCTCCGTTGTTGTAAAACACCACGCATTGGGCAGGAATGATAATTTTATAACTTGTAATTCCGGCTGCTCTCTACCACCAAGTACCAACGGGCAGGTCTCGATAACATCATAACACTGACGTCAAAATCCATCTTTTACCAACACCACATCTGCTTCATGTCGGGGGAGAACGAGTATTGCCGTGCAAATTTAAAGGCATATCAAAATTCACAATACAAACAAAGGTGAATGTAATGTTTTTGGAAAGCTTGAACGCTAGTATGAAGTTGATAATAGAACTTTTCTGAAGCGAAATTTTGAGAACAGAAAACAAAATTGAGTACACACGTGTTCATTCTATGTTTTTCGCGTGTTAGTGAATTAAGACAAGAAAATGTGCGCATGCATGAAATTGCCGGAAATTGCGAAATTTTGAAATGCTCTTAACACGAGACTCGAGGGCGTTCGGGATGGTGGGTGGTGCGGTTGTTTCTGGAGGGTGTAATGGGGTGGTTTGGGATTCATCGAACATTCGGCAAATTACAAGCATGGCGCCTGCGAGACTCAGCGTAGGCCAACCCGCAGTACACGCATGCACTGAAGGCAAGATGTTGCCTACCCGCCAGGCGCTACCAGACCTTGCATTGACAATATCGTAACTGCAGATGTCGGGCGCACTTGCTGAATCATACCACCACAATAAGGACAATAATTTTGGCGAAACGAAAGAAGAATTAATTTTCTTCCTGGTTTTCCGATGATGTGAAGAACACGTCGCGTCGTACTCTTGACATTTTTTGCGTGTTGTTGGCTTTCGCCGTGCTGACCTGTGCTTTGCCCCTCCGCAGTGCCGCCGGACATCCGGGACAGCGAGACGAGCACGGACGTGGGGGCCAACGAGGGCGCCGACGTGTCGCTGAGCTGCGCCGCCACGGGGTACCCGACCCCGACCATCTCCTGGCGCCGGGAGCACAGCGCCACCATCACGCGCCTACCGACCGGCGAGGAGGGTAAGTACACCACGTTACCGCCGGGCACGGTCAAATATGTCAGTGCAGTGTAATAGCTTTGTAGGGAAAAAAGTCTGAATGTCTATGTACCAAAGTCGAAACCGTAAATTCAAATTTTGGCGTAACTATCACGAAATCAAAAATTACGATTACAAAAATGTTAAACTCTTACCTCACACAAACGTCAATGTTGGTAAATATCCGCCCTCCTATCGGTCACTGTGAAAAATATTCGTTGTCTTATGGGAAATTTTCTATTATATGTGTCATAAAATTATAATTTGAAATTTACTACCACTTCATATCGTCTATGGAATTGAACGGAAAGCAAGAATTGAGCTGTCGCGCGCAAGGCGCTGTGATCAGAAACGCACTGACTACGTATGGGGCCGGGGTGCATCAGTAACAAGAAGTGCACTCTAAGAAAGTACCATAGTGTAGTAAAAAAAAAAACTGTTTTCACAAGTAGTAGTCTGTGATGGGTAGATTTCTAATCGAGTTAGAAACCATAAGTTTTTACTTTTATTCCGTTAACTTTCGCGAGTATGGTGCTGCACAGCTCCTCACCTCCTCTGCCGCGCACGTCCCAACTCTCGCCGTACCCTTCTCTCTCTCCATTTGCCTCTCCCTCGCTCTCTCCCCCCGCCCCTCTCTCTCTGCCTCTCTTCCTCCGGTCGTTCCGCCGTTCGTGCGAGCGGGCCGTTATAAGAATCCTTTTTGCAACACAATCACGCGTTGATTATTCCGGGACCAGCCCCATAGGCCATAGGGTAGGGCTAGGGCAGCCGGCACGCTCGCCGGTGGTTGCGAAGAGGCCAGCCCCCTCCCTTTCCTCGCTTTCTTGGCTATCCGGCCGGCGGCGCGTCGTCCTTCGCGCGCGCGGTCATTTTAAGTACAACCTGGAGGGGAGGGGAGGAAAAGTATTCACGACACGACTTGCGTATCCGGCCACACCGCGGTGCGCACGGCTTCCGTGTTATTTCACTTCTCCTCTGCGCGGGAAAAAATTGAGTTTTCAAATTTACATTATTTCCGAGCGTGCGCGCGTCGCAGTGTTTTATCGCCACCTTTTCGGGAGAGCGCCTCACCCGCTCTCTGACCGCGCCTGCTCGACGCCGCGTTCATTATATTCTATATTCCCCAACGCCGCTCACTACTTTTACTGCGGCGGCTGTGCGTGCGCTGGCGTGCCCCCGGGCCGCGCCGACGTTTAGTGGCGTTATTTGAGCATATAGTGCTTTGTGGCTGGCCGGAGCGCCGCCGCGACCCGCCGCGCCGCGACCCGCCGCGCCGCGACCCGCCACGCCCCGCCGCTCGGCACGGAAGAATTTATTTCAGATCTGCGTCGCTGCGTATCGTATGGCCGCGGCAAGTGATATTAAGCGCCGAGCTGCACGTCAAGCGCCTGCTGCCGGTGGTGGTGCGGCGGGG